GACTGCTTGTCTGAACATGCTTGTTTACTGTCTCATGTCCCTAGAACGGGGATGTGTGCATCTCCATCCTTCATCCACCAGTGGACGACCCACAGAGCGGTGAGCTGCCATCGGAGAGGTGGAACCCCACGCAGAACGTCAGGTACACGTCAGGCTCTGGAACAACTCAAGGAAAAGAAAAAAAAAAAGAAAAGATGATGATGATCTGCAGAGTTTTTTCTTCTTTCTGGCTTGTAGCGAGACCATAATGAATTTTTAATTGATTCATTTAGATGCATAATGCATTTTGTGTCTGTCGGGATTTTGCTGTCATCGTAGAGTGGGAACGTTTGAACAGATCTGGAGATGCACTGGCTGTGCACCTGCTAAAGAAGGTCATTGGCCGTGGCCAGTCGTGCTGATCATGGAGGGTCAGGGGAGGAGCTAGACAGGCAGAGACGTTTGCTTACATTCGGGCGGCATTATTGTCTTTCCTTGCTACTGAATGTAATCCCAGCTCTACGGGTACATTTGTGAGCCTCTACACAGCTTCACCATTACTCAAGTGTGGTGGCAAGACGGCAGCTACGTTATGTACTTTGGGAAATGAATTTCTTTACTGCAATTTTGTCCACAGTAATGACGCCTCAGAGCTGAATATTACAAAAGCAGCGCTGCGTTTTTGCCTACAGAGCAGAAAACATAGATGGCTGAGTCCAGATCCTGTAGCATGAAAACAGGATGATTGTTTGAGGCCTTTTCTCAGCTTGCTGCAGTTTAAATGCAGCAAACACCCAAACATGATGTTTAATTCATACGTCTTTTTATTTCTGATATTTGCGTGACACAGATTGAATTACTTGGTCCCTCCAGATTCTCAGTTGTCTTTTTTTTCTGTGCTCAGCGTAGACAAAATCCACTACGGATGTGTCTTTCTTAAAGGATCCTCCGACTGCTGCAGACAGAAGCGACAGATACAAAAGCAGCTTAATGTTATTTACAAGAGGAGAGTGTAAAATGTTTTGGAGGATAAAACAAACTGCCCACCCATGTTTGTGTGACTGGTCTGTTAATCAGAGCTGTGTTTAGGCCAATAAAGTCAAACGCAGCAGCAGAGACGGATGATCAGAAGATCAACAGGCTCGTCTGACCCTGACCTTCATCTCCCTCCTTCCCTCCCTCACCCTCTCTCCCTCTTTTTGTCCGTGTATGTCTGTCTCTCCATTTCTGTACACTTCTGCTTCCTGCACTCAGCGTCTCTTGTCTCGTCTTACCTCCATCTTTGCTACTCTCCGCCCCGTTTCCTTCTCCTCATCCTGTATTGCCTTCGACTATTTTAATCACTCGTTCCACTGTCGGCCTCTCTCTCAGGACCATCCTGCTCAGCGTGATCTCTCTGCTGAACGAACCCAACACGTTCTCGCCCGCCAACGTGGACGCCTCCGTCATGTACCGAAAGTGGAGGGACAGCAAGGGCAAGGACAGAGAATACATCGAGATCATCAGGTACAGGAAGGAAG